GCATGCTGTAACTAAGACCCAGGCAGCCAATCAATCAATCAATCAATATTAAAAAGAAAGATTAACGTTCCAAATTTATTTTTCTTTGATGATAAAGGGCTGTAATAGCATGCTACCAGCAGATTAAAAATAAACTCACGCTCAATGTGTCTCTTTAAGTAAAATATATATATATATATATATATATATTTTTTTTTTTTTTAAAGTAAATTAGAGCTTCTGCCTACCCTTAAGGGGATTATATAAGGATGTGGGTCATTGGGGTCACCCTAGGATCTTGCCTACCACAGTGTCTTCTTTTGTAAATGATTCTTTCTACTGCTGTTTGAACATGTTTTAAATGTGAAGTTTTTAGAAAAAGTGATTTAAAACATGGGTCCTGGGTGTCAGAGGGTTGGCTAAGGAAAATAACTCCTCTGAACTTGGAACTTTTACTTAGGGGACCAGATGTACACAGTTATTAAGGAAGGGAGCGTACAGTGAGCTATAATTAGAGAAACCTGCATCATCATTTTGAAATACTGAAAGAGCTTCCTGACTGGTCTCGGACTCTCAACCACTGCGCCACCAGGGAAGCCCCTAAAATATATATTTTTAAAGGAGTTAAATGATAACTTAAAAAAAAAAAAAGAAGAAGTTTGTGCTGTGGAGAATGCATTTTGAAAAGAAATATTTGGACATTTTTCTATCGTTACGTCATTTTTTGCCACTGAAATAACGGAAATATGCCACATATTAAAATCTCTTGTATCTGAACACTTAAAACACTTGGAAATAGAAATTTCCAAACTGTTAAAAACTTTTTCCAAATAAAGAGTGTCAGGGCTTTGAACCCATTTGTTAAAAAGAATAATTCACATTAGAAAGAAAATTGCTAACCAAATTTCAAAAATATTTGGCATATTTGATAGATAAGATAGAAAAATGAGAATCATAATTTAGTAAATCAATGATGATCTTCTATTTGGATTTTTTTTTTTTTTTTTTTTGCGGTACGCGGGCCTCTCAGTGTTGTGGCCTCTCCCGTTGCGGAGCACAGGCTCCGGACGCGCAGGCTCAGCGGCCATGGCTCACGGGCTCAGCCGCTTCGCGGCATGTGGGATCTTCCCGGACCGGGGCACGAACCCGTGTCCCCTGCATCGGCAGGCGGACTCTCAACCACTGCGCCACCAGGGAAGCCCTGGATCTTTGAATCTTTGTATTACATCTTTTTCTGCCATATTAACCATTAATAAATAAATTGAGCTTAAAACCAGACCATCAAATCATGTTATCTCAAAGGATTAACCAATAACTGTAGTAAAGTAAAGCTTATTGCTCTTTAAAAAAACTATATATTACCAATAATATCTTGTGCTGCTAAGAGGTTTTTGTATGATAATAAATAAAATTATTTTATAAATACTGCTAATTTTATGTTTATCGCCCTTTTAAAATGTCTTTTTGCATATGCTTTATAATTACAGAATATGCTACTACAATAGTACATGTATAAAGTTTGTTAATAATGAACATACATACACTGGATATGTATGCTGAACATTTTTACTGATGGAGTGCAAAATTTAAGAAAATAGATTGGAAATAGCTGTCTAGTTGAATTAACAGATGATTATAAAGCCTCTGTAGTCCGACAGTGTCTGGCACAATACGAGACTCACAGGAAGCATTCAAAACTTACTGTGACTCTCTGACCACCTCTGAATGAAAAATGTGGTAATTTATATATGTTTTGTGTGTATATATACCTCTCCCTCAAAATATGCATTTCATTTGGTGAGTAATTCTTCTGCCTGAGTATATTTGAGTAGAAAACCATGACCATAGAAGCAGTAGTGCATAGTGGTTGCCGTTTCTGAATTTGGACCACCTGAGTCTAAACCTTGGCCTTACAATTTATTAAGTATGTGACCTTGAATAGACTACGTCTCTGTGTTCCAGTTTCCTTGTATGCAACAGGGCCTGCTTCATGGCTTTGTGATGAAGATAAATGAGTTAATATGTGTGAAGTCCCTTGACCTATGTTTGACATATGGAAAGTGCTTACTCTAGGCTACTTGCCAGATATATACATATCTATCTATGTGTCTATATACATACACACACAGTTACACACACACACACTGGATATGTGTATATTTTGTGTAATTTCATTTATATTTCCTGTTCTCAGTATGTATTTATTTATATATATTTATATTGAATAATAAGAATCATGTTATTAACAATATTAATAACCCACACTTATTTGGCATGACTAAATATTATATATTTAAATATACTATACATATATATATATATATATATATATATATATAAACTAAAGACTAAATAAACTAGGCATTTGTTTCAGGACTTTACATGGATTATCTTGCTCATCTTTGGAAAAATATATAACATAACATACTTTTGTTATTCCCATTTTACAGATAGAAAACTGAGGTCCAGAAAGGTTAAGTAACTCACTTAAGTTCACACAGCTGGCATATGATAGAGTCAGGAAGTCTGGCTTTTTCTACCTCCCCACTGATTTAATAATATTATTTACTATTAGGAGTAATAGTTCATAATATCTTTATTTGCCTGGTGCTTAGTATTTTATAAAATACTTTCATATACATTGAGATTCATAACCAGCCTGTGAAGTGAGTTGAGCTGGATTATTATCCTTACTACTATAGGAGAGAAAACTGGTACAACTGAAACCATGGGTGTCTCTGGGAGGAAGTGTTTCTGTGTTACAAACATCCTGGGTGCCTCTGTACCCAGGGAGTCATTTACCATAAATGTACTGAGTCCTTATAACATGTCAAACTCGGACAGGGGTGCTAGCAATATGAGCCACAGTCCTCCCCAGAAGCATCACAGCCTAGTGGGAGACCAAGGTATGGAAACCAAGAATCACAGCACACAATGTAGTCTCTAAGGGAGATATGAAAAGAGTGCTTATGGAGCACAGGAGGGACCATCTGTGCCGGGGAGGTCTTAGAAAAGGCAAGGGTGGGGCCTCTCCTGGAAGAAAGAATGCGTGTGTGCGAGTGTGAATCCATATTTGTGACCATGACCGTGTGTCTAGGTGGATCTGAGTGTGTACCTGTTTACATGGGCTTACTCATGGGTTAATTTATGCACATGCAGGCTGTTAAGTGTGAAAGCAGAAAGCCTGAACGTAAAAGAAAGTGTGCTTGGATTCACACACGCCATAGCGGAATCTGCCCTGCCCTGGATGGTCTCCCCATTTCTCCTTCCTCCCCACAACACCGGGGTAACCAGTTGCTTGCCACTCTACCAGTTGCCTCGTGAGCTATGGTGATTAGACCCACCAGGTTTTCAATCTGTCAGTCTGAATGTGTAGTGGTCTAATAGAGCCCACCAGCTTGTGTAATTGGGTGTGAAGAGTACAAGTATCTGTGGGTGTATATCTGTTTGTATACTTCTGGCTATGTGTGAATGCTTAGCGTTGACTGCTCCTAGCCAGACTGGGAAAACCTCCCCTCTCCCTTCATCTTCACTATCTTGGGAGTTCATACACTCACCTGTTTCCATTGCCATCCAAAGGTGGCTGGCTTCTGCCTTCACTTAAATGTCCTGGGATATGTAAATATACTTCTGTGCCAGGACTGGACAGAGGCAAGGCTGGAAAATGCTGGTGCCCATTATCTGTGGAGGCACTCTGTGCTCTCCCCCATTCTGGTCCAGGAATCTCCCACAGGATGAAAAACGTGTGCAAAGGCAAACAGGAATGGTGACAGCCATGAGGAAACCAGAGGGTCACTCCTAGGGGCGAGCTGGTCAACCCTCTCCCCTGATGATGAAACCCGTTTTTAAGGCAAAATTGATCAAGGAGGGAAAGCGAGGACTTTTCTCTCCACAAGTGCTACCTCAGGGACTGGGGAGATCTGGGGGTAAGGCTGCAATACTCTTTATTTCTTTTAAACTTGCACAATCAAAAAAGCTAAAACGATTACAAATAATATGCAACTGATGGTGACAGTATCTCTATAAAGTGGCCATATAGTTGAACTAGATTTTCCCTTTTGTCATAAGGCATATAAATTCAGGGCTGTGGGGTCATGTAAGGCAAAGGTATTATGTGCTGGAATACACTGATGATTTGTGAGTGTTTATGTCCTGGCCCAATGCACTGCCACACAGCTAAATATTCGCATGTTAAGATAAGCAAGAATGAACTGCAATAATCAACACATGTAGTATGCCATATTTTAAGTTTAATGAATGAGTGGGTGAAGAGAAAAACAAACATATTCAGAAAAGTAGAATGGTCTCATATATTGATCCTTGAAATTACAATACCTGGATTCTGTTCTCAATTTCAGCAATGACTTACCTATTGAAAAGTTCTTATCATATATGGGAAAATTAGTCCAGTGGCAGGATATCTCTCAAAAATATGAATATGCTTAATCAAGCCTTGTTGAAGTGTCTTTTAAAATGTAAATGATTACAAATAAATGTTAGCTGTTGCATATCTGAATATATTTATTGCAGCACCATATATAGTATATATTTCCATGTTCTGGACACAAGCATTATCCTAAACTTTAAGGGAAGATATTGGTTTTATAATGTGCCAGGAGAATTTTTCCATAGTCAATATGTTGTTTATTTGCACTTAAATATTGCATCAATAATCTGAAAAAGAGAAATAACCTGATTATGGCTAGAGATTCTGATTAGAGGCTAAGGTTTCTATCATGGACTGCTTTCAACTGTTATATTTTATGGCACAGATTCAGTGGGAATCTGATCTGCTAAAATATTTGGGCTGTGAAAACTCCCACACTGTGACAGATGTCAAGTCCAATTAAGTGACTCATGTCCAGGTTTCTGTCCAATAGGATTTCCCATTAAATATCAATTTAGGGAAAAAAAATTCCATCCCCCTTCTTAAGCCTTTATCTCTTCCACCATCTCCAGGCTGAATCAATTGGTACCAGGAGAGCCAAGAAGCCACACACTCATCTCTGCCTCTTTGCTCTGGCTCTCCCACCCTCGCGCGTCTTTCTCCGCTTCCCTGTCACTGTTACTCCGGGAGACGTTCACTTTTCACCAACCTTTCTCCAAACATCTCCAAGCCACTGACTATATATATTTTGCTACAAGGTAAAGAAAGGAGGGGGTGGGGGTGGGAGATGTAACCAAGCCTTGAAAGACTTTGAAACTGGAAATATGTGTCTGTTTATACAACATACAAGTAAATGAGGGAAGAGGAAGAGGCAAGCTAAGCTCCGAGTTACAGTATTGCGTTCCTGGGAACTGGGGAGACATCAGCTGAACAAAGCCTTATCTCAAAAAAAAAAAAAAAATTACTTCTGAGCAAGATTGCATCTCTGCCTTGCACTTCCCAGTTTCTGCTCAGGCATATTAAGAGAAGGAAAGGCGTTCTACAGAAGCGGAATCTTATCTTAAACATCTTTCTTATTGATTCTTCCGCTATTAGAAAGTGGAGGAATCAGCCCTTTGATGTGATTGTGTTTATCTCTGCATCTCTTTTGTTATTTATAGAGACCTAGAAGAGGAAAAGAGGCACGAGACTTTTCAACACATCGTTTAAAAAAAATCAACAACGAATTTCCCGAAATGTTTGAGAACAATTAAAAGGAAAAGCCGTTTTTGATCTATCAACTAAGTGAACAATCATTCCCATCGTCCACATCCTGAGATATTATCGTCCCTCGCTGTGGACACCAGCGAGATGACAGCTGCTTTTTCATTTTTGAATGTAATAAATATTTGCTGCTTCTAATATATTTCGGAATTTCTCCCTGCTATTCCCTGGGATTTTAACTCTAAAAGATTGGAGAAAAGATTATCGAAAAGGCGTTTACAAGGTAAGCCTCCTTTAAATGATTTTTTTTCCAGCTTGGAACTAAGTTAGATAATTCATATCGCATTTATAGATGTGTTTCAGTGAATGGCTGAAGAAACCAAAATGCATACACGACATGCTATTTACGAATATTTTAAAAAGATATCTGGAGAAGAATTTAACATGCTTCGAGGGCAACCCGGGAACTTTTTATCCGAACTACAACTATGTTGTGGTTTATTGTGATTTTCCATTACTCGCCTATTTATTTATACCCTTTCAAGGCGAAGGTGTAGCTGCAAGTTGTTCTACTTATAAACGTATCCGTGAAAAGCCCACAGGGAGTCACATGTATTTCACTTGGAGCATTTGTTTTTATTTTGCCTTAGAGGACTTGTTTTCCTCACGGGGAAAAGAAAGCTGCCTTGGAGACAAATTCGCTCCTAAGCAAGTGCGGTGCTGGGAGCGGATAGCACAGCCCCCGCTTTTGTCTAGGAGCAAACGCTGCCGCACGTCGCCGACTCGATCTCCCTTCCAGCGAGCATCCCTCCAGCGGCGCACTAGGGCCCGGGGCTCGCAGCCTGGTCCTCCCTCCCGGTGCCCGCGATCGGTGCGCTTAGCCCCCGCAGGTGCCTCCCCGCCTGCCGGACCCTTTCTCGAAGCCCGAATTTCCTCGAAGCCCCACGGCTGGGAGCGGCCCCTCCCCGGAGGGGCGCGATCGGGGCTGGTCCTTCAGGCGCCCGGGAGGAGCCGGGCAAGGAGGCCTTTCTAGGATCGCATCCTTAGAGAAAGGCTGAGGACGGGCTAGCTCGGCCTCGGCCAGGCCGCCCGGGGACAGCTGAGGGCTCCCGACTCCGGGCCCCAGAGCACCAAACTTTGCGGGCGGGGATGCAGCTCGGGCCGGGGTAGTAGGCGCGGCGCCCGCCTCTCCCCGGCCCTTCCCTTCCCTCCCCAGCCTCTCCTTCCGCAGCCACCCGGCAGCCGACCTATTCCCGGGAGGTGGTCGGCAGACTGCGGGCGCATTGTCTTATCCCACGTCGCAGTGTCCCTAGGTCCCCGATGTGTGTGGCTGTCTGCGTGACAGATGGTGCTTCGGGAGCCTGCGAGGGCATGAGAGTCCATTTGCTGTTGAAAGGAGCCTCCACGTTTGTTTAGTCATCTATTATTTCGTAGAAGCGCGAGGGGAACGGGGAAGCCTTCCCGCTCCGGGACGCCTGCTCTCCGTCCGCGCTCGGGGCTGGGTTCCTCTGGAGTCCCGGCCGCCCCGCGCCCCAGACCCGCGCGCGGCCCGCCGGCGCCCAGTTCTCCGGCGGTTTCGCCCCAGGCCCTCGGGGCGGGAAGCGCGCTCCGCGTCTCCCCGCCCCCCCGCAAACCCCAGATGGATTCGTCGTTCGGATTCATTCGTTTGTCAGGGTCGGAGAAGAAGTAAGGGAGGCGGAATGGCCGAGTTGTATTTAGCCGAAGGAGGCACAAAACCCAGGAGCGGCCTCGCAGGCCTGCGGTCGTTCCCCGGAGCAGGCCCGCAGGCCGGTGTGTGTCTCCTGCAGGCCTCGGTGTCAGGTCCAGGATGCGGCCTGGGCCGAGGAGAGGCCTCGCTGGCTCCTGAGCCGGGCGGTGGCGCAGGGCTCGGCTCTCGGGCCTGCCTGCCTCGGCGCGCTCCCTCCCCGCGGGGTCCGCTCCTCGGAGCTCGCCGTCCTGCCGTGGGGAGGCGGCCCGGGCCGCGCGGAGGCCCGGCAGGCTAGGCCCTCGCCCGCTCTCGCTCCTATCCAGAGAAGACCCCCATTCCTTTTATTGATCGCTTTTCTGACTCCCCCTCAGCCTCCAAAATGATGCTGAGTCCAGACCAAGCCGCCGACTCGGACCACCCCAGTTCGGCGCCCTCGGACCCGGAGTCGCTGGGTGGCGCGGACGCCAAGGTGCTGGGCAGCGTGTCGGACCTGGAGCCGGTGGAGGAGGCCGAAGGCGACGGCAAGGGCGGCAGCCGGGCCGCGCTCTACCCGCACCCGCAGCAGCTGAGCCGCGAGGAGAAGCGCCGCCGCCGGCGAGCCACGGCCAAGTACCGCTCGGCCCACGCCACCCGCGAGCGCATCCGCGTGGAGGCCTTCAACCTGGCCTTCGCCGAGCTCCGCAAACTGCTGCCCACGCTGCCCCCGGACAAGAAGCTGTCCAAGATCGAGATCCTGCGCCTGGCCATCTGCTACATCTCCTATCTCAACCACGTCCTGGATGTGTAGGGCCGGGGTCGCGGCGCGGGGCCGCCTGGCCGGGAGTGGGTGAAACGCGGCCAACCCGGGCGGCCGCCGCGGCGATGGAGGAGGAAGCGGTGGCGCAGCGGGACGGCCGCCGCCACGGCCTTGGACCGGGTAGGAGGCTCGCACCGTGTTCTCTCCTGTCGGCAGGGCGACTCTGGAAGGTTTCCGACTCCAGAAGGGTGGGGTTGTCTGGCGAGCCCTGGGGCTTGTAGGGAGCATTTTCCAGGCAAGGCGAACCTCCTGGAGGCACCGAGACGCGTGGCCTCCAGGCCTCCCCTCCACGTGTTAGGATCCCTTTAGGGGTTGTTGCTTTAGCTCACTGGAGACTGAGTTCTCCTACATTCATCTCCCACAGATCTTCATGTTTTGAAAGAATGAGGGCAGAAGCTCAGAGTCTGGGCTTCTAACTTTAGACTATCTGGATTTTTTCTAACTGACAAATCACCAAACATCATGAGGGGAGGGGAGGGAATCTCCTCCAGGGCAGAAATTCAAGACACAGAAAGGTGGAACAGGAAACTTTCTGATCCGTTGTGAAAAGGAAGATTATATGAGAATCCAAGTAAAACAGGCCTAGAACATATGGTAAGGTTAAAAAGGTACATTGAGAACAAACAGATATTGTGGGAAGATTTGAGTTTGGTGAGATTTTTAACCCCAAGGTCTGACGCTAATGTAGACAGGAAAATCCATATTTAAATGAAAAATTTAATATCTGATTGCTTTTTCAGGCGAAGTGCCACTTTATATATCCAAAAGCATCTATTTGTGACCTTAAACATGTGGACCCATAGGTGCAGTTAGAAAAGACAACCTATTTTTATTTATGTTAGAACGAGTAGAGTATTTTTTTCAAGACACTTATTTTTCAGAGTGGTGATAATTTTACTTTGGACACTCTGTGCCAATTTATTTATAGTCAAGTGTTTACACTTTCTCCTGTGGAATAATTATGTCTAACTTTTTACGTGTTTGTTGAGATTACACTGTGGTCTTTCTTTTTGCTCTAATTATATTGCACTTGTATAACAAATTTCCCACATCTCCCTGTTTCTAAGCATATTTTATATATTAAGATGTTTGTTCCTGAAAGGTTCTTTTGTTGTGAGATCAGCAACACTAGCACTTCATTGTTATAGTTTTTTAAAAAAAGTTAAGTGTTGTTATCCTTATCTGTAGTTATGTCTGAAAAGTACTTTGCAAACCGTTTATAAGGAGAGTAGCTTCGTTGTGTGTGTGTGATGTTTGTGTGTGGGATGATTTTAGGAAATTAAGTTATTTTCCTAAAAAAAAAAAAAAAATTCAGAACTACTTTCCTCTGTGACAACCAAAAAGAAAAGTCTATAACCTGAAAATGTTTCATGTTCTCAGCTGTGAAACTCTTAAAACAAGGAGTGTATTTTAGAGACAAGGGAAAAAAAAAAAACCACATCTGCTATCCAAAGAATTTAGTCTTTTTCAGGGTTTTTTTGTGTCTCTGTTGCTTTATATAATGCAATATTTTGTAGTGAAAATAGATATAATCTGGTTTCTATCTGACGAGTTTTTCATATCTCATGAATGGTGCGCTGTTTTGCATATAAATAAAGGTATCAAATAAAGTCATCTCCTTTATTTTAAGCATACTGTCTAAAAATAATGAACATACTGGCTGAGCAAGAAATATCTCAATGGACTCAATTCCTCAGAAAGGAGCTAAAATTAGAAAACAACAACAACAAAACCAAATCTTGACATGTACTGAGATATTTGATGCTCTTCCTAAAGTTGGACGCTGATCAGTCTATGAATAGATGCCCCACATATGATGGTGACAGAAAACATGTTTCTCTCAATGAAGAAAAGAGATTATCAGTGCTTATAGAAAAACATTGCTTGAATCATAGATTCTTTTGCTTTAAAAGCAAATTCAGTAACTAACCCAATCTCTTCAAATTAGAGTTGGGAAACTGGGGTCCAAAGAGTTTATATGCCCTGCACTAAGTCCCATGGCTACTTAATGAAAATGAGAAGACCCCAAGATGATGACTCTAAGTCCTCATGGCACTTATTAAGAACAAGGTGCATTTCACTATTGTATTATAGCACTCAGACATCTAGTCAGGACATAGATTTAGGACATGACATCTGCAAGCAAGAAAAGACAACTAAACCCTGGACCAACCTGGAGATATGAAGAATGTTATCTATAAAAGCCTATACTTAACATAAAAATGTGGATTACTCTGTCTATAAGCAGAAGACACAAATAACTTAAAGACTATATATATGTGTATATGTACACACACATATAGAGAATATTATCAACTGTGAGTCCATATCACACCAAATCTCTGGTTGCAAAGTAAAAAATGCAGCTATGTGGATGCTTGGTTTTATAGCTATAAAATATCTGGGATTCTGAGCATTTTTCACTTTTTCTTGTAGTCTCAGGTTCACAGATACCTGATCAGGGAGACTTCATTCTATTCTTCAGCTGAGGAGAGCACTTCCTAGGACATGAAAAATAATGGTGGCTTCTTTGGCCTTGTATCTGGACCAAGTTGTGGTCCCTGCAGCAGTGGTTAGCTGCTCGGGCTGCACACACACTACCTTTGGACTGAGTGTTTGCAGGTCTCCCTTCCCACCTCAAGGAGTATGGTGAGGTGGCTACTCCGCGTCCTAATAGCACTTCTCTGTTGTAGGACAGAGAAATCGGCCCTGCTCCTTTGCCAAGGAAACGAAGTCAACTTCTAGCCTCGCTTTTCTGGTTTATGAGCCCAACTTCCAATTGACCAACACAGTCCTCCCTCTGACACCTAGGAGGAGCCTATTAACTCCCCTCTCTGGACTAAGTCCCTTGCCCTTGGAGTTGGACGTAGGGCAGACGTGGACAAAGGGCAACATCCCTTCCCAGGTACACAGCCCACGTGATCTCAGGAGAGGATCTTTGCAATGTCACTTCAAATCCGAGGCTTGTGAGCACCCCCCAAAAAGAAGGGCAACACTGTGGCGCTCTGCTGGACCAGAGGGTGACTGGCTGCTCCCTAGCACGTGGCAGGGACTCTGAGTACTCAGCCATACATAAGGGAGTAGAGTCTTCTCTGAATAATGATGATGGCGATCACTCAGTCTGACATTCAGCAAATATTTATTGAGGACCTACTGTGTACCAGGCATTGTTCTAGGTGCTAAAAATAGAGCAACAAATGAGACAAAGTCTACTGGAGAAGAGCAGTACACTGAGGACAATAAATAATAGTTAACTGCAGGTATTGCTCAAGGCTATGAAGCAAAATAAAGCAAGGTAAGGAAATAGAGAATGGCAGCTGAGGGTGCTGGTGGGTGGAGGGTATTATTTTAGATAGAGCTGTCAGGAAAGGCCTCTCTGAGGAGGAAACCCCTGAGTAGCCACCTAGCTTTGCCTAACCAGCAGCCTCCACAACTGCTGCCCCTCGTGCCCTTTCTTCTAGCATCCTGTTAACCTGACCTGTGCTCAGGCCACCAACACAGCTCTTGGGGATCACTCACCATTCCCCACTGGCAGCAGCCTCACCCTTCACCCCCAGCTTGCTCCCTCTGTAGGCAGACCTGGGGCCACAGTTCCTCCAACTGCTCCTCTCCCCTTTTGTTCTCTGTCCCCACTGCCCAGCAACTCACCAGGGCATTGCTGCTCCCCAGAAAACTCAGCCCCACCTGGCCCAGCTGACAAGGACACCTGGGCTGCATATTTCTATGCCCAAATGTCCCTTCACATCTGCCACTCTTTGGAGACATCCAGAGAAAAGGGGCAAAAGCTCTGGGCAAGGGCTTCCCTGGTGGCGCAGTGGTTGAGAGTCCGCCTGCCGATGCAGGGGACACGGGTTCGTGCCCCGGTCCGGGAAGATCCCACATGCCGCGGAGCGGCTGAGCCCGTGAGCCATGGCCGCTGGGCCTGCGCGTCCGGAGCCTGTTGCTCCGCAACGGGAGAGGCCACAACAGTGAGAGGCCCGCGTACCGCAAAAAAAAAAAAAAAAAAAGCTCTGGGCAAAAAAACCCCAAACAAAAAACCCACAAAAAAAACCCCTTCCCTTGCATGGGGAAGAGAACGGGAGGAGCAGCAGCAGAGGGCGTGGGTGGTGGGATGCAACGGGAAAGGAGGAGCAGCCTGAGGTCAGGGGAAATGGGTACAGAAAGAAATGAGGCTGGGTGGAGGTGGAGGACTGGGGCTGGGAATGCCTGCTTCCCATATGAACCCTGTTCTTGGGGCTTCCTCCAGTGGCCCTGCCCCTTGAACAAGCATCGCCTGATGCTATGATGACGTTAGTAGACAGAGCCGACCTCTGTAACACTGGGATTTATCCAGTTCCCATCGCTACTGTCTGTTTCTGGATGCCTGTCTTCCTCCCATGGAGGTTCAGGGCAGCAGGAGTTAGGGGAGTGGGGACAGCTAATGTGAACGTGTGCACAGCTGATACACTTTTTCTGGGCTTAGAAGGGCTATCTCATTTAGTACTGGTAGTGGTAGAAATATTAATAGCTAACATGTATTGAGTGTATACTATGTGCTTACCGAGTTAAGTGCTTTGCAGGCATGATCTCATTTAACTCACAGCAACCCAATGCAGTAGGTACTTTTGTCTCCATTTAACATATGAGGAACTTGAGGCTTAGAGAAATAAAATAACTTGCCCAGGGTCACAAAGTCATGTTTGTCAGTTCATCAAAATCCCTGCTCTTACCCATCATACTCCATGGCTTTCCTTTGCCAGAGGGACGGCAGGGCCATGCACATACCCCACCCTTAGCTCCTGCACCCCATCTCTCTACCCATGTGATGAGGGGAAGCTTCAGATCAGACATACCAAAGGAGTGCAGGATCTGCAGTGCACGCACCAGCCACCAAACCAAAGGGCCACGTGGAGGCTAAGACTGAGCCTCTGTTCCGCTTGCCGGGTCAAGCGTGTGTCCTGACTTGGGGCTAAACTCTTGGGAAGACACTGCGGGCTAGTGGCAGTCCTGAATCAGCCCCTCCTGCAGGAGTCTGGCGCGGACACTGTCCATGGTACTACTCTTCACCACCACACGGGTGAGCCTGACTCCTCAGCCTCCCCCATCCACATGCCTCCGTCCTCACACTGCACATCATCCCTTGCCTGGACATTTTTCTTGACTCTTCAATGCCTATAAAAAAATAAAACTCCA